TATATATATCGCCTTGGTGTATATAATAAATACGCATATATCATGTATGTTGAACCCAATCTTGTGCTTCTATAGTTGATCGAGTATATATATATATATATATATATTAGTAGCTATCAAGATGCCGCCCCCATGTTTCCATTACTCTAACCTCCCATCCCCCTATCCTATTTGTAGGTGCACTTGACGTCCAACTCGGTGTACACTGTGACGTTGCTGATCCAAGCCTTTGCGTGCCACAACACTGCCTTGCCAGTGTACGAAGAGCTCCAACACCGCAGCATCAAGCGCATGAATCAAGCTGTTTTCGGCGCCATCTCGCTTGCGTTCGTCCTGTACGCCGTGATCGGGCTCTGCGGGTACTTTACGTTTGGAGCGGCCACGATGGACAACATCCTGGTCAACTTTACACCTGAATTCCTCGACGCGTACCCCGGCGTCCGGCAGCCGCTTCTCCTCGGGCGGCTGTGCATGGCCATCGCGCTGCTCTTTTGCGCGCCCATCGCTACGTGGCCATTCCGGTCTTGTGTGCTATCCGTGTACCTCCGCGTCAAGAACGGCGGCCGCCAGACCCCAAGCTCGGCCGCCACCGCGTCCGAATTCACCGGCATGACGGCGACGCTGCAGGCGCTGATTCTGTTTGCCGCTATCTTTGTGCCGTCCGTCAAGATCCCGCTGAGCATCGTCGGGTCGGTTGCGGGGTCGCTCATCATTTTCATCATGCCGTCGCTGTTTTACACCCTCCAACACCGCCCGGTCGTGTCGTGGGCCAACAAGGGCCCGTTGGCGATGTTTGCCTTGGGCGTGTGTGTCTTTGTGCTGTGCTTTAGCCTGACCATGCTCAAGTTAGAAAACGAATTCTTTCCCTTGTAAAAATTAATAGATTCGACAGGCGATGATACCAATGCCCCCCCGATCCATGTGTTTATGGTTTTTCCACGGTACAGTACTGTATAACTGACAACCTACTGGTACAGTATGAGGAAGCATGTTGTGGCGGCCACGGGTAGGGAAGCGTACATATATATATATATATTCTAACATAAACAGTAGTGCGTGTATTCAAATAAAATACAATACTGTCCTGCGTGGCGGCCACTGGTAGAGAAAAATATATATTCTTCACACAAATTATTTATTAATATGAAATACTAGTATACGACTATTAATAGTACCGTAGTTGTCGTACCTTTGTACCATGGTATTAAATTTGAACAATTTATTTAAATATTCCACTTGTTTACTACCTCGAAGTACGTAGTACTATTAATAGTCATTGATTTGAGATTCTATATCTATTAATAGTGTATTATATTTTATATGCATTGAACACGCCTGAAATATATTTCATGGCGAGCCTCCAGAAAAAGATAAATACTGCGCAGCACTAGTGCTACGTAATACATCATGATAAGAAATCTTCGAAAGAGCTACAATAGAGTTGATAATAGAGCTCTTGCAAAGTACTGCTATTCATCAATATTCAGAGGTTATTCTTGAATTGTTCAATCGTACTAACTGTATCGATATACTACGTAGTATACGACTATTTATGACGCTATTAATAGTACGTGGATGTCACAAATAAGAAATACTTCGAAGTAATACTATTTCTTGACTGCAATGAATATAAAAAACAATTTCCCTACTTCTACCCGTGGTGCTCACCTTTCCTCACGCTGTTTGCACGTAGATAGCATTTCCGTATAGCTAGAAAAGCCCAGTTGCAACAACGAATTTGGGAGAAAGGGTGAGGTAAGAAAATTTTTATAGATAATTATAGAAAACTTATATATATAAATATTTCTTTTAATTAAAATTAATAAAAATAATAATAAGTGCAAGCCCCCTGATTTCCAAGATTATCAAATACTGGCAACGGCCTGTCGACTTGACTGTAAACTCAAATGTAGCACTTGGAAATATATTAAGTTTACTAAGCTACGTGATCGTCAGAAATAGGGGATGTACTACAGTACGAAGACCTAACTCTGTAGCCTGCAGTAGTGGAAATAGTACACGCCGAAGGGGATGCACAATAAATGGCAATGAAAACAATCCATTCCACTTTATGTACTGTACTACCAGTAGTTAATATCTGGGCACAGTCACGTTCACATACTGAATCAAGTTGTTGTTGTACACGACCACGTCCAGCACGCTCTCAAAGCTGACGCTGCTGCCGATCCATGTCGTCTTGCGTTGGCCTTGGATGTCCCAGATCTTCCACAGCAACCCCTTCTTGAGCCCCGCGGGGGTGAACCGCGGAAAGTAGTTGGTGTGTAGCTGCGTTGCCACTTCCACGTTCTTGATGCCAGCCAACTTGAGGTCGGCGTCCAGCTGCGCCTTGGACGCGGTCGAGTTTACCTTGTCCAACGGGTGGCTGTAGTACTGGTATGCCAGGTTGGTTTGGCGTCCTTTGGCCAGGTCGCCCCAGTCCGTCGAGTTAGTGAACAAATACGAGAGCTTGGAATTGCGCAAGGCGGACACCCGTCCATTTTCTTGCATGCGACCGAACCAGCCGACACTGGCCGTCTCGATAGGCGACGCATCCGACTCGTACAAGGTCGACAAGAACGCGGACGCGGTGTAGTCGCCCCCTTGGAAGAGCTGCTTCTCCTCGGCAGACAGATCCTCCACCAGACCAGCGTACAGACTCAAGTCCACAGCCATGACCACATGGTCAGCCTCGATAGTATCGAGGTCCCCCCATTTCGTTTGGTACGTTACGCGTGGCTTGTTCCATTTGTTGCCTCTGGAAACGCTGGTTGCTCTTGCGAGAAAGATGGTTTTGTACTGGTTCTTGTGCGCAGCGTGGACTGCGGTCCACAGACTCTGAAAGCCCTTGCGCAACGAGTACACGTTGGTTTTCTTGAGAAATTGGTCCGGGTGCATCCACCACAGCATGTAGAAAGCAGGGATCGTCTCGAGTACGCCGTAGCCTTGTTGTTGCTGTGAAAACCGAAGCGTGCCTTCGAGCGCCGTGAGGTTGTTTCGCTTCAAAAACTCCATTGCCGTCATGTCGATGAGGCTCCAGGCTTTGGGGGGAGGGGGCAGTCCGTACGAGTACTTGCCAAAGATGGCATAGTGAAGTGCAATGTACCGGCCGATTTGGAATCGAACAAGGTCTTGCAGCTCGGTGACGTTGGCATTGCGTTGGAGCTCGGGCGGGGCATTCAACGCGATCGATCGAATTAAATAGCGCGGATAGTCCAAGTTTGATACTGGATCAGAGTCAGCCACCCCAATGCTTTCACCCAACACTTTTACATAGTTTGGTGCGTTCAACGCCCACACAAACTTTTCGTTTGTCGGGTCGTACTCGTTGAGCAAGTCGAAGATGGGACCGTAGACGCCGTTGAGGAAGCACGTCCCCAACTCGTGGGGGATACCGTCGCGGTCGATTTCAGTACGCGACTTGCCCCCAACTCGATCCAACGCTTCGAGGAGGACAACTTTCTTGAGTCCCTTCTTGACCAATAGGGACGCGTAGTGGACGCCCGCCGGGCCCCCGCCAACGATGACCACTCGATCGTTTTGGCGGAGTGTAATGGGGGAAGGCGCCGATGCCACCAACGAGAGTGTAGCGAAAATCAAAGCAAGCGAAGCGAGCAATTTCATGAGACTACAGAGCAAAATGAACAATGAACGGAGGGGTTGAGCTCGGCGAGCTTGAAAGAATGGAGTCTGTTTTCGGAATGTGCTTGGAGTATCTGGTGGACATCGATGTTTAAAGGGAAAGCCGAATTCGAACACGAAGGTCATTTTGATCGGAGTGCATTCATTGTATACCATTTGTTTGTTTAACAGTAGCGGTAAGCTTATGGATCCCAGGTTGGCTTTGGTTGGCTGTCAAAACTATAACGTTAACGTTAAAACAAATATTCAGAAAGGTCGCGAGGACGTGCCTTACAGTTAACTGTAAATTATTGGGTCGATTCGAATATCGAATGTTGGGTGATTTACGTTTTCCCTGTTTTCCTTTTGCAACAAAAGAAGAATTCAATCCAATTTATTACAGTGGTACTACGTAGTATTTGAAGAAATTGTACTACCGGTACTTGTACTACGGTAGTAGTATTACAGTAACGTTAGAGCATCTCCAACGGTAAATTCTAACCTATTGCTAAAGCATAGGTTAAAGTCAAACTTCGTTTTTACGGTTGCTAATTTGACACTATCCGGACTTTTTAGAAATTTCGACTCGCAGAATTTCTATTTTCGCGTGCAAACCCTCCGGATAGTGCAAGAATTTCTATTCTATATCCGTAACTTCGAATTGAAATAGAAATAAAAACATCGTTGGAGATGCTCTAGGAGCATCTCCAACGGTGTTTTACTGGTCTGTGCTACCGTATACCTTATGGAAAATGTCGCTAAAATCTGATCGAAATGGATACAACTCAATAAGGTGGTCTGATTTCTTTCCAATGCGGTTGGATTGGCCACTTCTACTACTTCGACTTTTTTGATTGGCTAGAACGAGATAATTCGATATTTTTGACCAATATAAAGCGACCTAGGTACAGTACCACCAAATCGTTCTTTATTGACACCATACAGCAATTTGGGTACAACTCGAAAAATAAAAACGCCGTTGGAGATGCAAAATCATGGGTACTGTATACTACCGTATAATCTATGTCCTCTTAGGTGGACAAGTCCTTTTACACTGCGCGCCACATGAATAGACCCACGTATGTTTTAGTATGTAAACTACGAACCTCTGCGATCTATGACAAGCCAATGATGTTCTGAGCACTACAGAGAAGCCTTGTGCTGGACTCCAGTGCTTCACATCATTATAACTTCGATGAAAACCCGAATCCTCATAATTCTGACTACAAGCCCGCGCCAGATGAATAGACCCAGAGAAAAAAAATGCAAATTAGATGCACAATTGATCATTTTCATTGACTTAATAGCCAGTTCTACCACCATTGGCTTCCAACACAGCCACACAACGTCGTGGCATTGACTGGATGAGTGACATAATGAGTTCTTGGCTGATTCCACACCAGGCTTCGATGATGGCCGACTTGAGGTCCGCAATACATTGAAATTGATGGCCATTTCGATAAACATTGCGCGCAAGGAGCCCCCACAGGTTCTCGATTGGATTCAAGTCAGGAGATAGTG